GTTTCTCACAGAACGAAGACGAGTCATGTGTTTACAAGAAGGTCAGTGGGAGCAAAGTTGTATTTCTAGTGCTGTACGTGGATGACATTCTCCTTATAGGGAATGATGTTCCTACCTTGCAAGAAGTTAAGTCTTGGCTAGGAACGCAGTTTTCTATGAAGGACCTAGGAGAAGCGGCCTATATTTTAGGCATCAAGATCTATAGAGATAGATCGAGGCGTCTTCTGGGATTGTGTCAGAGTACTTACATCGATAAGGTCTTGAAACGGTTCAAGATGCAAGATTCCAAGAAAGGAACCTTACCGATGAGCAGTGGCACAGTTCTCTGCAAGAGTTAGTGTCCTACGACACCTGATGAGCGAGAACGCATGGACCGGATTCCATATGCTTCGGCAATTGGATCCATCATATATGCCATGCTTTGTACTCGACCGGATGTATCCTATGCATTGAGCATTACGAGTAGATATCAGTCAGATCCAGGTGAGTCGCACTGGATCGCCGTCAAGAACATCCTGAAGTACTTAAGAAGGATTAAGGATGTGTTCTTGGTATACGGTGGGTCGGAAGACGAGCTCGCTATAAGAGGTTACACCGATGCTAGTTTCCAGACAGACCCGGATGACTACAGATCGCAATCTGGCTATGTTTTCTACTTGAACGGAGGCGCTATTAGCTGGAAGAGTTTCAAGCAGGCGACCGTTGTAGATTCTACTACAGAAGCTGAGTATATTGCAGCGTCGAACGCAACAAAGGAAGCTGTTTGGATCAGGAAGTTTGTTGGTGACTTGGGTGTCATTCCTAGTGCTGATAGCCCCATTGCTCTGTATTGTGACAACAATGGAGCGATCACACAAGTGAAAGAACCCAGATCCCATCAATGATCCAAACATATACTCAGACGGTTTCACCTTATCAGGGAGATCATAGACAGAGGAGACATGCACATTTGCAGGGTGTCGATAGATGACAACATTGCCGATCCGTTGACGAAACCTCTCCCTTCGTCGAAGCATGAGGGTCATGTCAGGGATATGGGCATTAGATGTTTAGCAGTTCATGAATAGAGCAAGTGGGAGATTGTTGGTTTAGTGCTCTATGATGTACTGTTTATGAGCTTTATTTCGATACATTTGATATATTGATACTTTCTATGGTTTTATGAGAGTATTTGATTCATTACATATTCTTGCATACTAGATGTGTTATGAAATCCATGTATTGTTATGAACAATACTAAACTCCCTAGTC